CCTCACCACAGCCCGGCAAGGACCTGCGCCTTCGAGCATGGTACCCCACCTTTTCCCTCTTTGGATGTAGCCTGGAGCACACCCGGGAGCCCTAGGCACAGAGCAGAGCTGCTCCTGTGGAGGGTGGAGGAGAGCTCGCTGCTGCGGGTTGAAGACTGCAGACTGCAGGCCGTCCAGGGCCAACGACGAGGAGGGCACTGAGAAGCAGCTGCAGCCTGAATGCAGCCTGGGCCTGGAGAAAGTGGGGAGACTAGAAGAGGGGCCCTAGGGAAGCCCACCAGCACTGGGCTTACAGGCCGGCAGCCCCTCTCCGCCCCAGTCCTAAACGCCGGGCTGCAAGGGGATGCACTGGGCCACACCAAGCATCGAGACGATCAGGGTGCTCAGTGAGGGTTGCAGGGGTTAGTGGGAGTCCCAGGGCTGGGCTTGCCCAGCACCCCTAAAGACAGCACCCGAACCCGGGGCCTGGGGTGATACAGGTCTGGAAGCCAGGGTGAGACCCCCAAGGCAAAGCTCTGCCCAAGCTCAGCTTGGCTGAGGGGCTGGCAGAAAGGCAACAGCCTAGCACCCCCACTTAAAGGGCCAGCAGCGCCCTCCGGCTCCCCGCAGGGACTGTGGGACTGGTCCGCTTCCGTCTGCTTCCACCCGACCTGCCCGCCCGTCCCCGCCTCCACTTCCTCAAACAGCAGGCGGGGTCCGAGGTTGTGGAGTCCCTGCGGGAGAGGGGTTCTGGGCCAGCAGGGCTGCCATGTGATGCTCTTTGAGGACAGGAAAACAAACAGCGGAGGGACTGGGTAGTAGTGGGTCTGGCTCGTCCCGGGTCCAGGGCGTTCTGCACCGAGGAGTGAAGTCAACATCGGGCTTCCTGGGGGGCGGGGCGGCAGCCAGAGGGAACAGGAAGCCCCTAACCCCTCGCTTGGTCTAGGGACCCCCGACCCTCCCTGACACCCCTCTGGCCCTGTGCACTCCCACTCACCCCCACACACACACAACCGCCTTGGCTCCCAGCACCGCAGCCACGAGGGGGGGCTTCATTCCCTCCCCAGGGACTCCGCCCTTCCACTCGGGGCAGCCCCCGGGTCCCACTCCCTCGTCTTCTCCTTTGGGTAAACAACCCCGTCTGCCCTGCCTGTCCTAGGCGCCAGACCTGGGAGACCTGGGAGCCCCCTCTGTGAGCCGCGGGATTCCCATATGCTGGGGGGCACAGGGCTCCCGCTGATCCTCCCAACAAAGCCCAGGACCGGTCAGTCCAAAGGAGCTACAGACCAGGCAGGGCTTCAGGGGAGCCGGCAGCGCTCCCTGGAAACCTGCCCTTTCCTAGAAGCTGCTCCCCCTCTGGCTTCCAGCCAGGCCTGGGTGTGGCAGGCAGAGTAAAATCTGTCCTGGCAACACACAGCCTAACAGTTCCATCCTGCAGCTCCTGCCCCCATGAACCTGGCCCTCCCCTCCCCAGGCGCTGCCACCCACAACCCTGGTCCCCTGTGACCAGCTGGAAAGGGCCAGGAGAAGCAGGGTGTGCAAGAGGCACTGCAGGCCCCAGGCCACCTCCCTCTCCTGGCTTCATTTTCCTTCAGGTGCTTTGTGTATCTGATACCAAGGGTGAAACCCAGGCCCTCCCATTGAGCTCCATACCCAGCCATTTTTATTTTCTTGCTAAGTCACTAAATTGCCCAGGCTGTGCCTAAACCTGTGACCCTCTTGCCTCAGCCTCCCAGAGTGCTGGAATGACAGGCTTGAGTCAACACGCCCAGCCAAGCACACTCTGTTCTCTCTGGAGGTGAGGGGATGGGACGACTAAACTCAGGGCCAACCTCGCTGGGGGGCGGGGCAGGGGCACAGCACCCTCCGCTGGGGATCCCAACTGCCTGGGAGGAGTGGTGCAGGGACCAGGACGACCTCTCAGAACTCCGGCTTATATTTTCCCGCTCCCCATGGCCCCCCCAACATCTGCAGCACCCAGCAAACCTGGGGCTGTGGCCCAAGCTCTTCCCACGGTCCCCGCACCCTGGGGGCCCCACCAAGGGCCTTTAAGGGGCCTGCTACTCCCCCAGGCTGACGCCCAGGACACCCTGGAGACAAGCCCAGCCAGCCCCTTGGGTTTCACCGTGCCTGTTTCACTTCTTTGCAAAAGCAAAGGAAGATGACATCCAAGACCCTGCTGTGGAAATGAGTCTGAGGGTCTCGGCTGTTGGGAGGGACAGGTGCCAAGCAGTGTCCTCTGCCACCCATCTCAGGGTGCCAGCACTGGCCCCTAGCTGCAGCTGTCCTCGAGGTCTGAGACTTGTTCTCCTGACGAGGCTGCAGCGCCTCTGGACGTGGGAGGCCTCCACATCTCTCCTAGTCCAGGTGGCTTCGCACCAGCACCTGCTGGCTGCAGCCCTGCGGGCTCTTGGGTAACAGTGCTGAGCTTCATGGGAACTCACTCTGGCCCATCCCTGCCTTTCCCTCCTTACCGAGAACTGGACGGTGGTGAAGGGTGCTGAAGGCTGACCTGGGGACCATCTCCTGGAACACGCGGAAGGCACCAGCTCAGCTGCAGGCAGCCCAAGGCTGGGGTCCAGGGTCACCCACCCCACCAGCTGACGCCACTCCCAGCTTGGGCAAGGTCTGCACCCTCCCAGGGCTCTACTTTTAGGGTGACAGCAGCAGGAACAGTGACAGCCCTGAGACTCAGAGGCCTCAGCCCTCTCAGAGCACGAGAGGTCCAGACGGGGAGAGTCCCGGGTCACACTCTCAGACTGCGTGTCCCCCAGCCCTCCCCAGGCACACATACAACCAGGGCAGCATTTCCCAAGTCCACCAGTAACTTTCACCTGGCACAGAGGAGATGACCCACAAGTGACTTATCTATGAACACCATTCAAATGAATGAAGGAGGGGCAACCTAGGGTGGATGATGGCTCTTGATGCACACACTTGAGCCAAAACCCAGGCCTATAATCTCAGCATGCAGGAGGCTGAGACAGGACAATCCCAGTTTCAAAATCCAGATAAGAATTCAAGGCCAACCCGAACTCAAAAGAGAAAAAAAAAAAAAAAAAAGAA